GATAAAAATCTTAAATATGGAAATTTTAAACGAAAAAATAAATCTATGAATATTTAAAATATAATTTATTCATTATTCTTTTGTAAGGGGAAAAGGAGATTAGATTTATCATTAGGATTTAAGATAGATAGTGAAATTTGTAAATACAATTTTAAAATAAATAAATAATTGGAGAAAATATGATGACTCGGAAAAACTGACATTCATCTTAAAAAAAACTTATCTTAGAGCTTCTAGCTTTTTTTATTTTAAATTCTTTTTATGATAATAGGTTTTATAAAAAAAAATATTTGGCTCAGCTTCTCCTGACAAGAAATTTTCGGAAATAAAATTTAGGGAAAACTTTTAAAAACGCTCTATAAGTTTTTCATAATCATTTATCCCCTCTTCAAAAAATTTAATCATTTATCCTTTTATTTAAAGTTGTTTTATCATTTACCTCCCTGACTTGATTTTTCATCCAAAATTATAGTTAACAGTGTTAATTTTTTTTTATAAAATACCAAAACTAGCCTTTAAAAAAGTGTTCGTTGATCTTCTTCACTTTGTCACAGTCTTTTATTGGAGATCTGAAAGCCCTTTTCGCAGGAGCTACTTCCATCAAAATTAAGGCAAAAGTAAAACAATTCTTATTTACAGCTATGCTACCATAAAATAATAACAAAGTCCATAAAGAGCCAGAAAACTATAGAGTCTAAAGAGTAATGGGTACCCAACTCCATTATTAACTAAGCTTGATAGAAAGAAAGAAAGAAAAGATTAAAAAAGAGGAGCACAGAATAATCCTGTGAAGCTCAGATTCAACACAAGTCCATCTTAAAGTCCTCATTTTCATTTGAATGTAATTTTGAACCTTGATTTTTCAACTTTGTCCTAAATTACATGTCAATATATACAATATGTTTTAGAACCGAACCTTTTTATTTTCATTGGTTTAATGGATCAGCAATTTTTAATAATGTTGTGAAAGAGAATTATGTGTTGTTGACTGTTGTGCATTCAAAAGGAACATGTGTTATTGAAATGACATCATACCAAAAGTGGCTTCTCTCTTTCTCTTTCTGAAAATTGTAATGAATCTTTATCGGAAAATCAAGTTGGATGAACCGAGCAAATCTCAAATGATTTTATTCATGTGGTGGGAGCAAGTCTGAAAATCAAGAGGATCAACCAACGCTTTTGTTTTAAAGGTTAGTTTTGGTATTTTATAAAAAAATTAACAATGTTAACTGTAATTTTGGATGAAAAATCATGTCAGGGGATAAATGATAAAACAACTTTAAATAGGGGGTAAATGATTAAAATTTGTGGGAGGGAGATAAATGATTATGAGAAAACTTACAAGAATTTTTTTTTGAAGTTTTCCCTAAAATTTATAGAGTTACTTAATATTAAATGATTACATAAAATTTTATATTCCTCAAATTTTTTATTTTAAAATGAGGATACATTAGTAATTAATTGACTTGGGGTACAAAGCTACATCACATGTAATACAATAATCTCCATATCCATTTGAAAGGCACTAAAATTCCTCTTATTTCCTTTGAAAATTACATTACTTTTTCTGCGAACTGAAACCTGACAGCACTTAAATTACAAGTTCACCCTATATGTATTATCATAAATCTTCATCCAATCCATGTAGGACACATTATCCAAAAGCCAAGATTTTCCAATGCCTAATCAAGCACAATAAAGATTGGGGAAATAATCCCCATCAAATTGACATTGAAGACGAACCAATGACCTGCCAGTGAACACATGAATGATCTTCCCACAACCGTTTAACTCCTCCTTATGATAGAGCTACTAATCATAGGTTTAGTGGGTTAATTGTATAAATAACAATAATGTTTCACATAATAATTGACAACGAATTCAACAACGTTGCACACTCCCTTTTTCTTCTCTTAATTTTTCATGTGGGTATTGTACACATCAATAAGACTTCTATAAAATCGGAAGCAATGAAACCACTTTTGCAATATATGAAGTTGAATTTAATATAATTTCGTTTTTAGTCCTAATACTTGGTAAGAGTAGCGTTTTTAAGTAATTAGTTGTAACTAAAAAATTGTAGATCATTTCATATATATAATATTAGTTCACAAAGAGATAAAATAAAAGTAATAAAAAAAGGAAATAAAAGGTAAAATGGACAAAATAGTTGGAAAAGTGAGTATGAAAATGAAGAGAAAAAGCATAGTTTTTTTTGTACGAGACAAACTTTGTTGGAAGGATGACACTTTTCTCCACTATACATTTTGATAACAAGTTACGACTCAGGAGGAAGACAAAGGAATACATGCATTCTTTGATTACTTTCACTACAGAGACTAAAACAACGCACATCAACAAAAAGGAAATTTAAAAGTAAAAGCATATGCAGATTATCTTATCTTCCACCCACCAATAACAATATGCTGTGTGGCACACCATCTGATGTAGCGTCCACAAAAGCATCTGTTTTCCTCACTCATAATCAGAATGCATATAAGCAAATACTTTAAAAAAAAAAAGTTGGTCAAAAGAAGTTTTTCTTACATAATTCATATAATATTAATCAAAATTCGTATTATTTTTCTCTTTTAATTTATTAAAATCGATGCTCACTTAACTTCACTAGTGCGTTTGAAGTAACTAAAGCTTAAATATGTTTAGTTTATAATTTAGAATTATTTTTTTAAAAATAAATGTTAATGATGTAAAATAAAATTACTTTTAATGATAAAATTATTAAAATAAGAGTAAACACCCTTTTTGGTCCCTGGCAATATTTACGAAATCTTTTTTAGTCCCTGGCAATAAAAAAGGATCAAATTGATCTCTAAAATTATGAAAAAGGGCCACATTAGTCCTTATGTCAACTCCTCCGTCACTAACATGACCCTTTTTGCATACTGTTAGGGACCAATTTGGTCCTTTTTTATTGCCAAGGACTAAAAAAGATTTCGTAGATATTATCAGAGACCAAAAAAGAATGTTTACTCTTAAAATAACGTATCATATACTTCGCTTACTCTCGAATGCAAGATTGTTAAATCAGAGTTGTCTTAAAGACTGCTTTTGCATTGACCAAAAAAAAAAGGACTGCTTTTGCGTTATTTACAAACTGAAGCAAACAAGACTATCATTTTTATTTGAAAATTATAAGTCTGCAACGCATGTCTACTCAACCCTGCAAACTTCTTGGGAATTTCACCCCATTCAAGTTGTACTACACACTCGCAAATTGTACAAGGGTAACGTAATAGTTTTGTATCGAATTTTGTTAGAAAACGATAAACATAAATCGCAAACCAAAAGAGAAAGCTAGAGAATAGATACAATGATTTATTTAGATTCATATTATATTCATCTTATCGACACTTTCATCTATAAGAAGAATATAAATAGGGTTAGAAAAATTCTAACAACAGTTATTAATGGGCTCAAGTTTAAACGGCTAAGAAAAGAAAAATTTGCAATAAATCAGCAACAGTACCTAGCTTCTACGAGTCTTGTGGGCGCTGCCTCGCGGACCCCAGCCAGGACGTCTCCCCGAACCCCCCGCTCACCTGGGAGTGGGACCCCAATTATCTTTCTGCTACGAAGTATGAGCTATACCTGATGAGCTATACCCAACAGGATTTAGATGTATAATAATTTATGGGAAAAGTGACCAAAATGTCATTGTTCCTCATCTTTTTTATCTAAATGTCACGCCAACAATATTATTTCTCAATATGCCACGTGAGCATATTTGTTGGGCACGGTAGCAAACTCAGTTTGCTGATTTGTCACGTTCCTGATGAACATCAAGTTCGGTACTCATTATGAACGTGATACATCAGCAAACTGAGTGCCCAACGAATTTGTTCACGTGACATATTAGGAAATAATATTATTGGCGTGGCATTTAGGTAAAAAAGATGGGGAATAGTGGTATTTTAGTCACTGTTTCTAATTTATGTATGTATTTTTCTTTTACTATATAATGTATTTCCTATAATGAACAAGTAAGATAACAACCAGTCCAAAATATACGTTTAAACCTTCAAAAACAGCTTTTGTTGAGAGAATACGTAATTCTCGTGTTCAATCGAACAAATTGTAATCTCGTAAATAGGGTGTGGATACTGAATAGGTAAGATGATCTATTAGAACTTATAGATTGTTTTTTTTTTCGGTAAACAACTTATAGATTGATTTAATTAGTTCATATCTGACATAATGTATTTAATAAAACAAAAAAAAAATTAGATATAAAAGATACATATATTTTTATTAAACTTGGCCTATAAATTTAAATACCAACTTATATTATATTATTTATTTTAAATAAAATAAAAATTATTATTTAAATAATGTTAAATATAACACAATATTCTTTTAATTATTTTTTTTTAATTTTTTTTTTGGGAAAAGTGTTTGTCATTTTAAATGACATAACACTCTGTTCTTTTAAGAAAGAGACAGACAAAGAAAAAAAATTATTTAAATTTTAAATTAAAAAAAAATCACTCACTTTCTTTCTTTCATGATTTTCATTTTTCTGTGTCTATCTCTCTCCTAAAATGACATAACTTATGTCATTTAAAATGACAAAAACCAAACTTTTTTTTTTATAAATCTAAAAACGTGATAGGTTTATGCTTGAATTTTTTATTTTTAAAAAATAACGCAAATCAATTAACCAGTATTAAATTGGTAAATCACACAAAACTCAAACCATTTAGGTCAAACTCAAAAGTCAAAACCTAGCTTAAAATAACCTGAACAATTAATTTTCGACAAAACAGTGGTTTTTTTTCTCGGGGGATTGAACAGGCCAATAAATTCTGGCCCAATCCTCTTTTGTTGGGTAGAAGGCCCAACTCTGGTGTTTTTTTTTTGTAAATAAAACTAAACATTAAGAAAACAGAAGATGGGCCAGGAAGGCCCAACCCAAACCCATCAGATTGCACCCTAGGGTTTCTAACTCTCTACCTATATGTAAACAAGGGTTTGAGATTCAAGTTTCAGTTTATAGCTCAGGGGATTACGGCGTGAGAGAGAGAAGCGAAGATGGTGAAGTTCCTGAAGGCGAACAAGGCTGTGATCGTCCTGCAAGGGCGGTACGCAGGGAAGAAGGCGGTGATCGTGAGGAACTTCGACGATGGAACACGTGAGCGTCCTTATGGACATTGCCTCGTTGCTGGGATCAAGAAGTACCCTAGCAAGGTTATAAGGAAGGATTCAGCGAAGAAAACAGCGAAGAAGTCGCGCGTGAAGGCTTTCGTGAAGGTGGTGAATTACCAGCACCTCATGCCCACGCGCTACACGCTCGACGTGGATCTCAAGGACGTCGTAACCCCCGATGTGCTCCAGTCCAAGGATAAGAAGGTCACCGCACTCAAGGAAACCAAGAAGCGCTTCGAGGAACGTTTCAAGACCGGTAAGAACCGGTGGTTCTTCACCAAGCTCAGGTTCTGAGCGCGTAGATCGCTAAAACAATTTTTCTTTCGTTTTTGATCCATCTAGTGTTTTAATTTTCAACTGTTTGGGTTATTATTATTAATTATCTTATAATGCTACATTGAGGTTGGATTCTGCTGTTTTGTACCATGGGGTAATATTCCAATGCGTTAGACTTGTTTGTTTTTACTATCCAATTATTTCTTCATTGTGATTGTTTTGTGAATCTGCTGTATTTTGCGTTACCTTTGTATGTTTGCGAATCATTGAGGGTTGTCAAGCATTAGAATGCGTAAATATAGCTAACTTTGGTTGTCTGAGTGATTCATAATTAAGGTGAAATTTGAGATCTTGGTAACTATTTCGTCCAAAACATAGGTTGGACATTTTGGATATGAAATGATAAAATTTCCATTGAGTTAGTAAATTCATCACTTTAAGCAACTCAAAAACTTTAGGTAGAGCTTTTCTTGATATCATGGTCTGAATAACTTTATAACATAGTAGTTAATTGCGCGCCGCATGGGCATTGCGGTGCTTCACCGCAAGAGACCGCTCCTCGCAAATCACGGTCATGTTGATGTCATAAGGCAAAATGTCAATTTTGTCCTAAATTTAAATGTGTAACAGGAATTCTAAGGGTTTTTAGTCTATCTGTGTCTCTCTCTATCACTTCTGCTATCTCAGCCTTTAAAAATGTTTATTTTTGTCATTATTTCTGTCATATATCTGTTCTACTATTTTCGCAACCGCAATCGGCCGCGAAATGCCGTAATCCGCATTTGATAACTTTGCTTTATAATCTACAAACATTGGATTAAGATAAATCTAAGTCTTATAACAAAATATCGTAACTTATTTTAAAAATTAGAAATGAAATTGGTTTTGACTTAGACTTTTAGTGCTTTGGCAAATTTAGGCTTGGAATCAGTCCAAAGTCCAAACAGGTAAAGGAAATTTGGTCTGATAATTTGTCTTTATAAAAACGCGTGTTCAAGTTGTCGGATTTCACGGTTAGATGGATCAGCATCAGCAGATCGTTTCTGATGTTTTTTGCATTGCACTATTAGTTGTGAATGAATGTAGTTCTTCTTCTTGACTAATATTTGGTGTTAGTGTAGCACCATGTGGAGCGAGTATGTCTGTGTTCGGAAAACCAGACTGAACTAGAAATGAGGCTGACATTATTAAGTATCTCGAACACGCCTTGAATTGTATCCATGATAAAATAACCAAACTAAACTAAACTGAATGGGTTTTTGTGGTTCAGTTATCTGGTTTAAACCGGTTCTTTGTTTACATAGGAACAGTTTCCCCCTACCATGTTCAACTCCTATAGCGAAACATTAAGCCTAGCAACGAATGTGTGTACCATAGATTTGCCACCGCTATATTCAGTTTATTTTGGTTCAATTAAGTCCACTTTTGTTTTTAATTTTCGCCCCCACCCCCCCTAAAACCCTAAAAAAAAAAAACCGTTTTACATGTGGCCTTTACTTTATGACTGTTTGCAAGTGTTTGTCTCACTAATCTGTGCCGCAATCTAATTGGATTTGGGGCCTGTTTGGTGTGATGTATAAGGCCTGATAGTATAAGCTTATATTGTACGTTATGACATTTTCAGTTGTTTGGTGTGACCATCGTATAGTATAAGCTTATACAGCAGAACCCCTTAATACATCAAAATGATATATAACTTAATCCGGTCTAAGGAGGGAAAATATTTTTGATGGTCCAGGACCATCGAATGATCTGGTGCTCCCTCTCACATCATCAATTTTTTCTTTCCCTTTTTACCTTTGTGATTTTTTTTCTTTTCCAATTTTATCCCTCCATTTACACTAAGGGATCACCAGAAAATTGGTGGTCCCGGTCCACTATAAATAATCTCCTAAGGAGGGTGGATTAGGCCTGATAAGGGGTTGATGTATTAATATTGCTTACAAGTGCAATTTCCAAGAACTAATATATCATTTCAATATTAATATATTAAAATAATTAACTTCCAAGAACTAATATATCATTTCAATATTAATATATTAAAATAATTTTTTTAATATATTAATTTTTAAAATATTGGAAGTTATTATCTTATACAATACCATACCAAACGCTGGATTGTATTAAAATTTAATCAAATCTTATACTATCAGGCCTTATACTATCAGGCCTTATGATATACTATGCACCAAACATACCCTTGAGTAGAGCATTATGATTCGTAATTCTTATGTAGTATATTGGGATGTAAAATCGGTCATGTTTTATACATGTATTATTGTCACGAAATCCGTATTTTATACCTCATTTCTTTAGGGGGGCGTTTGGTCGGAGGTATCTTATCAGATAGATAGGATTCTGATAAGTGGGAAAGATGAATCACCATGTTTGGTTGAAGATTTTCAAAAATTTCTCCAGCGAAATCAGTTCCCCATCCATCAAGTTTGCATGTCAATTTGGCTTAAATGCAAGGCAACCGATTCCCATATGAGATGTGGTATTTGAGGATATCTACCTAAATGAAGAAATGAATGATTAACCACATGACCACCATACCCTCAACTTGGAGCCCAAATCACATATGAAGGAAGGTGACAGCTGTACATACACGACCACTCTCCGCACCGGCACCGGATACCAGCAACTGAACGACGTTGTCACACCACCACCAGCAACCAAAACAGAACCAAACACTGAAACAGAGCACAATAGGCAAAGACAAACCAATAACCACCCACCCAGATCAAAACAGTAACAGATTGAAGGAGAAAGAGTTCAGCCACAACCCAGATTAGCCACAGTCAAACCAACCCAAGCAGGACCCAGTCAAACCACCCACAAATTGGAGTTGCCCCAAGCACGGACCATTGCATTAGGGTTCAGATGAGAGAATGAGGTACAATGGGATGTTCCAGATGAGGTTGAATAAGAGAAAGAGATCAAATGGGGTGTTTAGGATTTTGGTAGGCTTGATTTTTTTTTTCCCCTGAGAAATTGATTGCTCTGCCACTTGGATGGTGGCTGTGCAAAATTAGCTGATCCCTATAATCCTACCCCAATCACATCTTGAAGCGGCGTGGAAGGTGAAGGAAGGGTAAAGGGTAGGTGATTTAAAAAAATGTAAAAAGAGGGATATTTTTGTAATTGTAACACATTTTCTCATCTATATTTTATCTCACACCAAACATAGACTTTTATAATCTTATCTAATTTGTCCAGTAAATTTTTTTTCAACCAAACAACTTTTTTTACATTTTCCTACCAAACTCAATTTCCAACCATTTTCCTATCAATTACATTTTTTCAGTATTCAAAAAATTTATCCTCAACCAAACACTCCCTATAACTGTTTGCAAGATAGCAACAATTTGATTGGTTTCCTCCAAACAGCCTCGATTGAGGTAGCTATTTTATTTATTTTATGCATCCGAAGTTCTTAATTTGGAAAAAAGTAAAAAAAAAATTAAATAATGATTACTTCTCTATATTTAAAATATTTAATGCCAGATAAATATATCTATTATAATCTAATTATCAAATCATCTCTTTCAATGGCCAAATTTATTGCATAAAATATATATTTAACTGGTAACTGGAACTCGATAGGGATTTTCTTAAAATTGATCTAATTTATTATAAATAAGAAAATCTGAATTGATAAAAAAAAAATTAAATGGATTGGATCTTTGATTTTAAAATGATTCAATCAAAATGAACTGAGACTCGTACATATGCACTTACGAATTTACATATAACCTCTACTTTTATATTTATGATTTTAAAAATCATGTCATGATTCATATTTATTTATGAAAAGTGAGCTTGAGTGAAGATTAGCTTTTTTTAGTGAACGTGCGAGTGAAAAGTACATTTGAATAAACATAAATATAGATAATTAGAACTTATGAGACCATATTTTTTTTTTTAATTTGAATCGAAGTTCAGTAGATTTTTATTAGAATCAGATATGTTATGAATGCTTATTATATTTATTTTAAATATTAAAAATAATTTGTTCAATAAGACATATTATTCATTGATCACTTGTTTAATATGATATAAAAAAATAAATAATTACCCTCCCCTTAATATTGCTTAGTTACTTTTAAAATCTCACTCTACCATATTATTTTAGGGAGTATGATATTATACCTACCTTTTTATGCATATTTTATATACTTCTCTTTAGTATTATTATATCATACTCTCAACTAACGATGAGAGGAGATAAAAAAAATGTGAAATTTGATTGAGATATAAAGTAGGCATGAAAAAAAGGTAAGCATAATATCTTATTCCTTATTTTAGTTATAAACTTCAATTTTTAAGAATTTGAAATGAATTTATCTTCGTGTTTATAAGAAAATGATAGTGTTTTTATTTATTTTTTGTGATAAAATGTTACAGTGTTTTATCACTTAGACATTTTGCTTTTATTTTACAATAAATGCATGTATAAGTTATTAATATACGCAATATACTTTTTTTTTTTAACAATATACGCAATATACTTAATTTATTAATTTATGCGTAGTTTTTATTATATTTATTATATATTTTTAGGGTTCATTTAAAAGTCTTTTCAAAAAAGAGAGAGCAAAGAACCAATCAATTCAACCCGCTTTAGATTGGATTAAATTTGAATTTAAAATTAAATTCATTGGATACTTTAGGTTGGATTAGATTGAATTAATTTTATTTTATTTTGGTAATCAATTAAATTTTGATTTACAAGCCAATCGATTAGACGATAAATAAGATGATTTTGTTTCTTAAACCAGATCTAATTCAATCCATCAACGGTTCTAGACTCATGGCAACTATCTCAATATCATTATAATTTGGATTCCATTAAATAAATAACAGAGAAGAAAAAAGTGATGATGAAATATTATTATGATTACAACTCTTAATTGTTGATACTATGTTGAATTATTTTGTTAGCGCTAATTTAATATGTATTTCTACATGGCAATTAAAAAAATCCATGATGAATAAAACAATATTGAACTATTCTGGACGTACATTTCCAACTACCACAGTGTATTTTAGTCCTTCCTAATTCAAGGAGGAACAACAAATCATAGGAACAAATTGGTCTGTAATGAGAAACTTTAAAGAAAAAAGCAGAAATTAAATTGAGCAAGTTCAAGAAACAACACAGATGATAAGAAATATGGAATGTTAGTTAA